CCCCAAAACCCCAAAACCCCAAAACCCCAAAACCCCAAAACCCCGACTCTACATAGCAGTCTTGAAATATTGGTTTAATGATAATATGGAGACACTCTGGCAGATACACCTTCAGCAATTGCCACCAGCCAAATAATGCTGATTAGATAGCTCGCTTTGACTTTCTAAGGCGGTCTATAATTAAATGAAGAAGCAGAGCCGAAAAGTTATGAATATGAAAATTGGAAAACAAATATAATATGAATCCTGAGCTGGAATGTGATGATGAAATAGAGAGGAAGAGGTGGAGTTATGGAGGAGAACCAGAAATGATCAACTAATCCCATAAATTGTTTCTAAATATCCTACTGGTTAATAAAAGCCCATGCTCAGTTTCTAAGGCATTTCGAGCAAGCTACTGGATTAATATTGGCAAAGTCAATATGCTCTAGTCTCACCTTGTGCCCTCTAATTGCTTGAGTTTAAGCCTCTATCCTGATTCTTTCTGATATTTTTCTTTAAATATTTAATGAGTTGCCTTATTCTCCATCTTGGTAATTCACAGGAGTCAGAGTTCTTTGAAACTTTCTTCTCCACAAAGAAATACTGGCACAGTGCTCGTATCTCATCTCCAGTGAGTTTAGAGGGGGGAAGACCTTGATCCACTGACCAGAGATTACTGGGGTCATTTTAGTTGTTCAAGAGCCTCTTAGAGGCATTGACCATACTCTAGATCAGAAATATTCATCTCATTAATTGTTTTCCAATAAGCCTTATTGTTCCTGGCTCAGTTGAATATTCCTATCAAGGGGATTCCATTCAATGTTGAAGCCTTTGATATTTTTAATTCTTCCATAGTTGCCTCCTTTGCTTTTTCTATGTTTCTGAATTTGATTTTCAGGCTTCTGAGGGGGAGGTATTAATCATAAATTTTTATCTTGTATAAATCTAAAAGTATTATAACCTCAATAGTACCCTAACCAGCTAAAAGATGGTATTTATGTGGATTCTACTTTGGTTATGTAAAACGCAGCAGTAGCATTTTGATGTAATGATGATAGCACTCAATGGATAACCTTTCAGCAGATTGATAAATGTTTAAATGTTGAAAAGATTAATTTCAATTTACTAATTTGAGCGAGGGGTTTTGGGGTTTTGGGGTTTTGGGGTTTTGGGG